ATACTGGGATCCGGAACACAGGAATTCCACAGCGGTACCAACTTCCAGCTCCGGCTGCATCCCCCCCTCCACATTCCCGGGAACAAATTGATCCCACCCCACCCCAAAACCCCGGAATTCCCCGGGAAGCGCCCCCGGAATTCCCTACCCGGCCAGGAGGGCGATTCCGTCGTGGTGCCGCTCGGGAATTTCCATCAGCTCCCAGCCCCCGGCGTTTCCCACATCCCGGACGACGTCGTCGTTCCCGGTCCGAGCCAGAATCGCCTTCAGCGTCTGCACGGCACAGCTGGAAAATTCGGGATCGGGATTGGGATCGGGATGGGGATTGGGCTCAAGATTGGGCCTGGGATTGGATCCGGGATTGGATTCAGATTCAGTTTGGGATTGGGTCTGTGGATTTGGGATTGGATCTGGGGTTGGATTTGGGATTGGAATTGGATCTGGGATTGGGTTTGCTATTGGATTCGGGATTGGATCTGGGGTTGGATTTGGGATTGGAATTGGATTTGGGATTGGGTTTGGGTTTGCTATTGGATTTGGGATTGGATTTGGGGTTGGAATTGGGATTGGAATTGGATTTGGGATTGGGTTTGGGTTTGAGATTGGATTTGGGATTGGATCTGGGGTTGGATTTGGGATTGGAATTGGATCTGGGATTGGGTTTGGGTTTGCTATTGGATTTGGGATTGGATCTGGGGTTGGAATTGGGATTGGAATTGGATTTGGGATTGGGTTTGCTATTGGATTTGGGATTGGAATTGGATCTGGGATTGGGTTTGGGTTTGCTATTGGATTTGGGATTGGATCTGGGGTTGGATTTGGGATTGGAATTGGGTTTGCTATTGGATTTGGGATTGGATCTGGGGTTGGATCTGGGATTGGGTTTTGGACTGGATTTGGGATTGGATCTGGGGTGGATTTAGGATTGGATCTGGAATTGGATTCTGAATGAGTTTAGGATCTGGGACTGGGTTTGGGATTGGGTTCAGGATTGGATTTGGGTTTGGGTTTGGGATTGGGTTCAGGATTGGATTTGGGTTGGATTTGGGTTTGGATTTGGGATTGGTTTCAGGATTGGATTTGGGATTAGATTTGAGATTGGGATTGGATTTGGGTTGGATCCAGGATTGGATTTGGGACTGGATTTGGGTTGGATCCAGGATTGGATTTGGGACTGGATTTGGGATTGGATCTGGGATTGGATTGGGGACTGGATTCTGGATTTGGGATTGGATTTGGGATTGGATCTGGGATTGGATTTGGGACTGGATTCTGGATTTGGGATTGGATTTGGGATTGGATCTGGGGTGGATTTGGAATTGGATTCTGAATGAGTTTAGGATTGGATCTGGGACTGGGTTTGGGATTGGGTTTGGGATTGGATTTGGGATTGGGATTGGGTTTGGAACTGGATTCAGGATTGGATCTGGGATTGGATTTGGGATTGGCTTCAGGATTGGATTTGGGTTGGATTTGGGTTTGGATTTGGGATTGGATCTGGGGTGGATTTGGAATTGGATTCCGAATGAGTTTAGGATTGGATCTGGGACTGGGTTTGGGATTGGATTTGGGTTGGATTTGGGATCAGCTTCAGGATTGGATTTGGGTTGGATTCAGGATTTGGGATTGGCTTCAGGATTGGATTTGGGTTGGATTTGGGTTTGGATTTGGAATTGGGTTTGGGATTGGTTTCAGGATTGGATTTGGGCTTGGATTCAGGATTGCATCTGGGCCTGGGTTTCGAATTGGATTTGGTTTGGCTCTGGCTCCATCCAGGATATCCCGAGGGAATTCCGAGCCCGGGCTCGCCGGGAATGCCGGAATTGGAGCCGGGAACGGCATCCAAGACAAAAAAAAAAAAAAAAAAAAAAAACGGGAAGGGAAAAAGCTCCGGAGCTACTTGGAGGAGTTTTTTTTTCACGGAATGAACGATTTATAGGCTTGGGATTGTTTTGCCGCGGAGCAACATCTGGAAAAGATCCGTTATCCCGTCAAAACACCGGGAAGGGGAGCCAGGGCTAAATCCCGGCTCTCGGAACGGGGATCCCACACACGACGGAAATCCGGGATTCGGGACTGGAGCTGCTGCCCCACATCCCCCCGTCGGGATTTGTCCCGTTCGCCCGGAATTTGTGGGCTGGGAGAACCCCAAGGATTCCGGGACAGCCTCTGGAATGCTGGAAATTTGGGAATAACGACGGAGAACGGATCCCAAACACGGGAGCTGCTCTGGAAAACGTTCCCTGGAATCTGGAGCAGCCTTGGATTCCCGGTTGGACGGGATGGGCCATTCCACGATTCCAAAGGATCCAGGATCCCACGGGGAAAACCCAAGGAAGAGGCCCAAAGGTGGATTCCCGATGGAAAATCCGGGAGTTTTCCCAAAAAAAATTCCCCCAGAGGGGCTGGAATTGATCCCGGTGGAGCTTTCCCTGTTTTGGATGCGCCAGGGAAAAGCGGGACAAGGAATGGGAACAACAAAATTCCAGGGAAAAAAAACCTGGAGTGACAGAGAGGCCTCGGAGGCTCCGGGATTAATTAAAGATTAATTAAGGAAATCCCGGAACGCGGGAATGGGGTGGGAATGGAGGGGATTTAAGGATGATCCCATTCCCACGGGACAATTCCAGGCATGTCCATGGAATTCCCGCCTGGTTTGGGATGGAGGGAATTTTGGGATCAGCCCATTCCCAATTTTTCCATAGGGTGCTTCCCGCTATCCCAGGATGGGACAATTCCAGGGACGGAGCAGCCTCGGTTTCCCCGGAATTCACTCTCCCACTCCTCCTTTTTTTGGGAATCTGCTTCCCGACCCTGCTCCGGATACTCCATCCCGCTCCCGCTTCCCAAATTCCCAATCCCAGCCAGGGATCCCAATCCCTGGTTCCCACCCTATCCCAGGGATCCCATGATCCCATCCCACCCCCTCATTATCCCATTATCCCATAAATCCCATAAATCCCATCCTAAAATCCCATCAAGCCCATAATTCCCATTTTTCATCCCATCATTCTCATTCCCATTCCCATTCCCATTCCCATCCCATTATCCCATCCCACAAATCCCATCAATCCCATTCCCTTCCCATTCCATAAATCCCATCCCATTGATCCCATCACCCCGTCCCGTTTCCACCCCAAACCCCCTTTCCCATGGAATTTCCCATGGAATTCCCACCTTTTCCCCATGGAATTCCCACCTTTCCCCATAGAACTCCCCTTTTCCTGTTTCCCCTTTTCCCATCATTTCCCCACAGAATTCCCACTTTCCCCCCCACAGAATTCCCACCTTTTACATGGAATTCCATTTTTCTCCATGAAATTCCCCTTTTCTCCCACAGAATTCCCACTTTTCCCCAGGGAATTCCCACCTTTGCTCCACAACATTCCGAATTTTCCCCATAGAATTCTCACTCTTTCCCCATAGAATTCCCACAGAATTCCCCCTTTTCCTCATGGAATTTCCCCTTTTCTCCCCAGAATTCCCACTTTTCCCCAGGGAATTCCCACTTTACCCCCAGAATTCCCATTTCCCCCCTGGAATTCCCACTTTTCCACCAAGAATTCCCCCTTTTCCCCGCAGAATTCCTCTTCTTTCCTCATAGAATTCCCACAAAATCCCATTTCCCCCCCATAATACCCAGTTTTCCCCCCAGAATTCCAATTTCCCCCCGGAATCCCCACTTTTCCCCTGGAATTCCCACTTTTCCCCTGGAATTCCCACTTTTCCCCTGGAATTCCCCCTTTCCCCCCAGAATTCCCGCTTTTCCCTCCACAATTCCCCATTTTCCCCCCACAATTCCCACTTTCCCTCCAGAATTCCACTTTTCCCCCCAAATTTCTCACTTTTCCCCCCCCAATTCATACTTTCCCCACAAAATTCCCACTTTTCCCCACAGAATTCCCCCTTTCCCCCCCGAAATTCCC